GCAGCCCTTGAAATATCTTGGCCCTTGACTGTCTGGTCCTTTCTCCCACCAGTGTTCAGCTTACAGGACCTGTGCTGCCGAGCCATTGTTTCCTGCACCCCAGTCCACCTCATTGACAAGCTGCCATTGCCTGTCACCATCAAGAGTCACCTGAAATCCTTCTCGATGGCCAATGGGATGAACGCGGTGATGATGCATGGCCGGTCATATTCCTTGGCCAGCAGCGGGGGTGGGAGCAGCAGCAAAGGTAACAGCTTGAAGAGATCCAAATCAATTCGTCCACCCCAGAGCCCCCCACAGAACTGCTCACGCAACAACTGCAAGATCTCTTAGCAGGATGGATGCGCCGTGAGCTTCTAACATATCCACACCCACCCACCGATGTACAGCTGTTTGCACACTTAACCCTTTTCGACTGGATCCTTTTGGATGGGCCGCGGTTGCTTTTCTGATGGCACGCACAAGCGTTGGGAATGTGCTCACGTTTTGGCTTCGCATAGGAAGCATGGTGCCGGCTGGATCTCGCAGCGCTGGCGGGGAGAGGACTCTGCCAAGTGACCCTCCAAGAATGCTTTGGGCTTTGCCTTTTGGCCTGGGGTGGAAAATTCAGCAGCTGCCGGGTTGGGGAGGGGGGAAGGGGAAAAAGCTCATCCAGTCTCAATGGAGAAATGGATTTAATGGAAGACTGAGAGGCTTAAGGGAGTAGGCAAGGAGAGTCTGTGCTGCAATTTTAACTCTTGGACTCCTGAACGGATTGCTGGTGCAATAGTGATCATTGGATGTAGAAAAAACAGAAACGGGGACAGGGCACTAATGACAGTTTTCACCGGGATGTTAACCTGCTGTTGCCAAAAACAAAGAAAACAAGGCAAGAGTTGGCCAATTGGAAAGGGGAAGGAAGCAGTCTGCTTGCCTTCTTCGTTTATTTATGTAAATATTATACATATATATATATATCACTTGTTTTTTAAGGTTTTTTTTAAGAAGCAGTCAGGGAAAATTTTATGCAGCCATGTAAATACAAGCACTGGATTAACTTTCCCAGTGTCAGCAAAAGGGGAGAAGTGGAGGATTTTCCGATGAAAATATACAAATGCTTTAAGACACTTTCAGTCACCACCTGGGCTTGTACTGGGTGTTTTTTTTAAATACTACATCTGCAGAAGGAAAGAACGATTCGTGTATAATGTACCCCAAGCTGCTTTATTCCTGTCATTCCCTAAAACTTGTGAGTGCCAAAGGCAGGGGGGGATGTAAATGGATTGAGGAGCAGAGCAGAGAGGCCAGGGTCTTGGGGTTTGTTTTCAGCAGGCAGGATGAAGAAGCAGCTCTGAGGTCAGACTGGTGCCTTGCTCGCTTTGCACCTTCTGATGCATGGCTGATCAGGGACTGGGGAGCAGAGGGTGGAAGCATTGCACCTAAAGCAGAGGGGAAGTGCTGAATTTGTCCTTTATTGCTGCAAAGCCTTGGCCATCGCTTCCAGAGCCCTCCATCCATGACACAGCCCTCTGGACCCTGACATGACACCACCCTGTGCAACAACCCCTGAATCCTGGCTGCTTCTTGCTTTGCTTTTCCAAAGACATTCTGCCTGAGCTAGCGTTGCTGCAGCTCCTCCCGGATGAAAGTGGGGAAAGGACAGAAGCAGCTTTTCCCACTGGAGCGTGAAGGAGCAGGGACTGGGAAGGGGAAAGGCTTGTGTGGGGAAAACAGCAATCCCCAGGTCCCATTGTGGCAAATGCACTCAGCTTTTGTGGCAGTGCCAGGAAATCGAGAAAGCAAAATGCTTTGCTCTGTAGGACTGCTCTTGGATTTTAGAGGGGCATGTGTGCTCAGCAGCAAGAGCTTGAGGTGTGCACATGCCATGGGAGAAGATCTTGTGTCAAGCAAGGGCATGTGCGTCCCTGGCTTCATCCCATGGCTGATCTGTGCTGGAAATTCACCTGGAAACTTAAGAATAATGCCTAGCCCTTATTGCAAAAGCTAAGCGGGGCTTGGCAATGGGACTAAGCTATGTCAACAGATTCTCGTAGGTGGCCAGGACATGTAGATTGTGAGTAGCGTGGTAGAAAGTGAACTGCTTTTCCGTGTGCTGGGTCTGTCTCATCAGCGAGGAGCCCAGCCAGTACAGTGCTGCCATCTTCCTCCTTGTGTTAGCAACTC